AATACACATATATCACGGCCTCTAGTAATTATGTCCACAGAAACATATATAAGCACAAAAGCTGAGTATCATCTACCTTGTATTCAATTGCAAAAGCAGAATAACATATATATATATATCATAAAACACACATATACCACGGCCTCTAGTAATTATGTCCACAGAAACATGTATATGCAAAAAAGCTGAGTATCATCTACCATGTATTCAACTGTGAAAGCAGAATAACTGAGAGTATATACTCCGTATCATACGACTTTTGAAGACCAGCTTTTAAGCGGTTTGCATGATACATGAGATATAAAATTAGTGTATATACTGCTGGCCCTGGTTACGCCGTTCACCAAACTATATATTTATTTACTGTAGTCAAATCAACTTCAAAATTAGGTCTTCAAGGGTCACATGATACGCAAGTATTTACAATAACTAAAAAAATCCTTATAGATAATCAAAGGAAGGGATGGTAAAAAGTGGAAGATCGGTTTTGTATTGTTCTTAAGTATCAAACACCCCGCCATTTCTTGGCCATATAGATTCATAAATGCAATTCCAAAACAGACTTAGAGGTAATCAAATGAAAAGATGAGAGAAAATGAGGGATCAATTTCGTACTATTCTTTAGTATAAAACTCGTCCCCGATTTCTTGACCACTGTGTACACTATCCATTTCTGTAATAGTCTTATAGGTTTGTTTGCTATATATACCGTATATACACGCGTATCATGCAACCTTTGAAGATCTAATTTAGAAGCTAATTTTAAGGGGGTCGTATCATACACGAGATTATGTTCTTCTGGCCCTGGATATGCCGTTGACCAAAGTACATATCCATGTACTTTAGTCAAATTAAATTAAAAAATCGGTCTTCAAATATACGTGAGTATATAATACGGCATATCAAATTTAAATTTCAGCATTAAATGACCCATATATATATATATATATATATATATATATATATATATATATATATATATATATATATATATATATATATATATATATATATATATATATGTATATATATGACGTTAAACAAATAAAACAATCAATGAATAGAGGTTCATGCTTCAGCAGAATGATTTGTGTTCTGTATTAGTTTTAACTGCTTCTATTTTTTTTTTTGAAACTCTTTAGTATCACGTGATTATCATGTACATCTTGTCATTCTTTAAAAAACCTCTCAAATTATTTTCACCCATTACAAGGCCCACGAGCCGATCAAGGTAGAAGGTTAATGATTGGTTTCGTTGTATGAACGTAACAGGATGAGGTAAGAAGTGTAGATTATGAGGAAATGTAGGAAAGATGACGGTTAACCCTGGACGTCGTAGGAGCTAAAATTGTAGTGATCGGGGAAGCATCCCCTGGGGAGTGTGTCCCACAAAGTAATTGTTCTTGGGTATCATGAGAATATAGTACGTATAAACATATACCGTGGAAGTACTGACTGAGTAGCGGGAGGCTTGCGATGTTTAGTTCGTGGGAAACGGCTAAAAAATAAATAATCACCAACAAGGCCGCCGAGCCGCTTTTCCACCCTATAAGTTCCTGTCTAAAAATGACTACGACATTCTATTTCTGATGTGATGGGACAAGAAAACGGCCTTTTTCAAAGCCTCCTTACCAATGGATCGTGTATACAGGCTGCAATGGTTAAACTGTCGACATTTTTTGTTTTAATTTCGCGCATGCGCGTTGTTTGTTTTTGGCTTTCTCAACTGCACAGTATAGTAGGGTCAATTGGGCATTGTCTGTGAGAAAAAGAGCGCCATGATGCAATTCACTCCGCCAGAAATTTGGAAACATCTACTCGGTAGCATCGTGATTCCCCACCTGATGAGACGTTAAAAAAAACTCTTTTTTAACGTTGAAACAAGATGTACAGTTTTGTAGTAGGTATGTGCATGTTCTAATCTAACACTGCATAATATATATATATATATATATATATATATATATATATATATAGTGATTTTCCAAGCGTAGCTCAGATGTGGCACGAGGCCGAAAGTATGGGGCACCCAGTGAGGATCGAACTCACTACTCAGTCATAATGGTGCTAGCAAGACAAGCTTGCTAACCATTACACCACCTCGAGGTATCCCAAAAGTTATTTTCCAAGTGTAGCTTGGTTGTGGCACAAGGCCGAAGGTAAGGGGCACCCAGTGAGGATTAAACTCACTACTCAGTCGTAATTGCTCTAGGGAGACAAGCTTGCTAACCATTACACTACCTCGATGTGCCTGTATATATATATATATAAATAACAAACAAAAATCCTAATATGCAATTATGCTGTTTTAATATTAATATAATATCTACCTCACGCACGGTGAATACTAGACCCGGCTTCTTCAATATTCCCCCTTTGCTACCAAGATTAATGCTCGACAAACGTACATATAAATTTTAGATTAAATTTAAATTCTTTTCATTTTTCATTCAAAATACTATATTTTAGGAATACGTTTTCACAACATCGCCCACGTGACGCCGACGTGATCATATTGAAACGGAACGCTGATCTTGAAAAATTTCAGTTTTCTGTTTTGATTAGTCGTGCTCTTATGCCCATCGTCTTTTCATGTTGAATTAATTATCGTCTAATGTTAATTATGTTTTATGAATATGTCCTGAAGATGGTCTACTAGACCGAAACGTCCGCCGTTGACATTATATTAATATTAAAACAGCATAATTGCATATTAGGATTTTTATTTGTTTTTTCCGTATATTTTTCTTCATACTGTCGGATATATATTTTGCTTATATATATATATATATATATATATATATATATATATATATATATATATATATATATATATAATATAGCAATTTTTATTTTAAATGATTATATCTCCACTGTGCTGACTGCTGAGACGCGCAGACTCGAAATAGCGGCTGTATTTTTAATGCAATCTGAAATATTCACACAGATACACATATATATATATATATATATATATATATATATATATATATATGTGTGTGTGTGTGTGTGTGTGTGTGTGTGTGTGTGTGTGTGTGTGTGTGTGTAAAATTCTGACTCGTGTGTTTGTGCGTGCATATATGTGCGTTAACAGAAGAAGGAGCACAGATGTATGATGCAAAGAAAGGAAGCTCAAAAACAGTCAGGTAATTTCTCTATTCTTCGCTCTTCTACTCGTCCGTAGCCCAATAGATCAATAACGGATCAATAATGCAATCATCGATACTTATATGAGTCTCAAAAATTCAGGAAAATAATTCTTTGCCTACATTTCTGATTCTTTATTCAGTTTGAATAGGAAATAATTCAAAGTACGTGGCACAATATTTGCAATCTTCGATCTGTTTAGCATTGATCTTTTTTTCTTTTCTTTTTTGTTCCATTTTCTCTTTTCAAGTTTTTTGGTTCAGTGTATATGGCGTTTACTTCTAAATTAGCTACATAAGTAATTTCTTTACTTATTCGCCGATTGCCTTTTTGAAAATGGAGGAAACATATCCCGGTGATACATTGATATGCTCAAATGCTAAATTAACTATTACGACAATACGACAGATGTTTCTAATAATGATAAGAAAACGAAGAAAGAAGAGAGAAGCACTTTAAAATAAAGAAGAAGAAGAAGAAGAAGAAGAAGAAGAAGAAGAAGAAGGATAAATGGACTCAAAAGAAGAAAAGGAAAAGAAAAAAAGAAGGTAACCATTAAGAAAAAGAAATAAATTAACTAAAAAAACAGCAAGAAAGAGAAACGAAGAAAAAACGACGAATAGAAGAAGACAGATGTTTTAAAAAAAGAATGATAAGAAAACGAAGAAAAAAGAAGAGAAGAAGCAGGCTTAAAAAAAAGAAGAAGAAGAAGAAAAGAAGAAGAAGAAAAGAAGAAGAAAGAAACAACAACTGGGGTTGAAGAAGAAAAAGAAGAACGAAAGGGAGATAAAGGATAGGCGGGAGCTCAGAGATATATAAATTTAGAAGGGGCAGAAAAATAAAGTGAAAAAGGACAGAAGAAGAAAGAAGAAGAAAAAGAAGAAGAAGAAGAAGAAGAAGAAAAGAAGAAGAAGAAGAAAAAACAACTGGGGTTGAAGAAGAAAAAGAAGAACGAAAGAGGAGAAAAGGATAGGCGGGAGCTCAGAGATATATAAATTTAGAAGGGCAGAAAAATAAAGAAAAAGAATGGCGGAAAAAGAGAAAAGAAGAAGAAGAAGAAGAAGAAGAAGAAGAAGAAGGAAGAAGAAACAACAACTGGGGTTGAAGAAGAAAAAGAAAGGAGATAAAGGATAGAGCTCAGAGATATAAGAAGGGCAGAAAAATAAAAAGTGAGGCTTATAAAGAATGGCGGAAAAAGAGAAAGAAGAAGAAGAAGAAGAAGAAGAAGAAGAAGAAGAAGAAGAAACAACAACTGGGGTTGAAGAAGAAAAAGAAGAACGAAAGAGGAGATAAAGGATAGGCGGGAGCTCAGAGATATATAAATTTAGAAGGGGCAGAAAAATAAAGTGAGGCTTATAAAGAATGGCGGAAAAAGAGAAAGAAGAAGAAGAAGAAGAAGAAGAAGAAGAAGAAGAAGAAGAAGAAGAAGAAAACAACTGGGGTTGAAGAAGAAAAAGAAGAACGAAAGAGGAGATAAAGGATAGGCGGGAGCTCAGAGATATATAAATTTAAAGGGCAAAAAATAAAGTGAGGCTTATAAAGAATGGCGGAAAAAAAAAAAAGAGAAAGAAAGAAGAAGAAGAAGAAGAAGAAGAAGAAAAGAAGAAGAAAGAAGAAAAGAAGAACGAAAGAGGAGATAAAGGATAGGTGGGAGCTCAGAGATATATAAATTTAGAAGGGGCAGAAAAATAAAAGGAGGCTTAAAATGGCGGAAAAGAAAAGAAGAAGAAAAGAAGAAGAAGAAGAAGAAGGGAAGAAGAAACAACTGGGGTTGAAGAAGAAAAAGAAGAAAAAGAGGAGATAAAGGATAAGCTCAGAGAATATAAATTTAGAAGGGGCAAAAAAAAAGAGGCTTATAAAGAATGGCGGAAAAAGAGAAAGAAGAAGAAGAAGAAGAAGAAGAAGAAGAAGAAGAAGAAGAAGAAGAAGAAACAACTGGGGTTGAAGAAAGGAAGAACGAAAGAGGAGATAAAGGATAAAGGATAGGGGCAGAAAAATAAAGGAATGGCGGAAAAAGAAAAAAGAAGGAAAGAAGAAGAAAGAGATATAAGAAATTTAGAAGGCAGAAAAGGAAGGCTTATAAAGAATGGCGGAAGATATATAAAATTTAGAAGAAAAAGGCAGAAAAAGATAAAGTGAGGCTTATAAAGAATGGCGGAAAAAAGAGAAAGAAGAAGAAGAAGAAGAAGAAGAAGAAGAAGAAGAAGAAGAAGAAACAACTGGGGTTGAAGAAGAAAAAAGAACGAAAGAAGAAGAGATATATAAATTTAGAAACAAAAATAAAGTGGGTTATAAAGAATGAAAAAGAGAAAGAAGAACGAAAAGAAGAAGAAGAAGAAGAAAAAGAAGGAAGAAGAAACAACTGGGGTTGAAGAAGAAAAAGAAGAACGAAAGAGGAGATAAAGGATAGGGGGAGCTCAGAGATATATAAATTTAGAAGGGCAGAAAAAATAAAGTAGGCTTATAAAGATGGCGGAAAAGAGAAAGAAGAAGAAGAAGAAGAAGAAGAAGAAGAAGAAGAAGAAGAAGAAGAAACAACAACTGGGGTTGAAGAAGAAAAGAAGAACGAAAGAGGAGATAAAGGATAAGGGAGCTCAGAGATATATAAATTTAGAAGGGCAGAAAAAATAAAAAGTGGAGGCTTATAAAGAATGGCGGAAAAAGAAGAAGAAGAAGAAGAAGAAGAAGAAGAAGAAGAAGAAGAAGAAAAAAACAACTGGGGTTGAAGAAGAAAAGAAGAACGAAAGAGGAGATAAAGGATAAGAAGATATATAAATTTAGAAGGCAGAAAAATAAAGTGAGGCTTATAAAGAATGGCGGAAAAAGAGAAAAAGAAGAAGAAGAAGAAGAAGAAGAAGAAGAAGAAGAAGAAGAACTGGGGTTGAAGAAAAAAGAAGAACGAAAAGGAGATAAAGGATAGGCGGGAGCTCAGAGATATATAAATTTAGAAGGGAAGAAAAATAAAGTGAGGCTTATAAAGAATGGCGGAAAAAGAGAAAAAGAAGAAGAAGAAGAAGAAGAAAGAAGAAGAAGAAGAAGAAGAAGAAACAACTGAAAAGAAAAAAAGAAGAACGAAAGAGAGATAAAGGATAGGCGGGAGCTCAGAGATATATAAATTTAGAAAGGGCAGAAAAATAAAGTGAGGCTTATAAAGAATGGCGGAAAAAGAGAAAAGAAGAAGAAGAAGAAGAAGAAGAAGAAGAAGAAGAAGAAGAAAGAACTGGGGTTGAAGAAGAAGAAGAACGAAAGAAGATAAAGGATAGGGGCTCAGAAGAAGAAAAAGAAGAATGGCGGAAAAAAGAAAGGGAAGAAGAAAAAAAAAGAAGCTTATAAAAAAAAGAAGAACGAAAGAGGAGAAAAAAAGAGAGATTATAAAGAAGAAGGAAAAAAAAAAGAAAGAAGAAGAAGAAGAAAAGGAAGAAGAAGAAGAAGAAGAAGAAGAAAAACTGGGGTTGAAGAAGAAAAAGAAGAACGAAAGAGGAGATAAAGGATAGAAGGGAGCTCAAGATATAAATTTAGAAGGGGCAGAAAAAAAAAGTGAGGCTTAAAAGAATGGCGGAAAAGAAGAAGAAGAAGAAGAAGAAGAAGAAGAAGAAGAAGAAGAAGAAGAAACAACAACTGGGGTTGAAGAAGAAAAAGAAGAACGAAAGAGGAGATAAAGGATAGGCGGGAGCTCAGAGATATATAAATTTAGAAGGGGCAGAAAAATAAAGTGAGGCTTATAAAGAATGGCGGAAAAAGAGAAAGAAGAAGAAGAAGAAGAAGAAGAAGAAGAAGAAGAAGAAGAAGAAGAAACAACTGGGGTTGAAGAAGAAAAAGAAGAACGAAAGAGGAGATAAAGGATAGGCGGGAGCTCAGAGATATATAAATTTAGAAGGGGCAGAAAAATAAAGTGAGGCTTATAAAGAATGGCGGAAAAAGAGAAAGAAGAAACTTAAAAGGAGAAATGGAAGAAGAAAAAGGAGAAAAGTTATGTAGAAGAAGATATTGATTAAACAAAAATACTGTGCAAATGAAGAAGAAAAATGAAAATAAGAAACAGAAGGAAGAAGAAGAACGAAAATTAAATAGAAGAAAATGAAGAAAGAAGGAAAAGAAAACGAAAATAAGAAGAAGAAAAAGAAGAAAGAAAATGGAGAAGGAAAATTAGAGGAAAAAGATGAAAGAAGAAAAAAGGAAAATAATATAATGATTAATAATAATAATAATAATAATAAGAAGAAGAAGAAGAAGAAGAAGGCGGAAAAGAAAAAGAATAAATTAAGAAGAAGGAAAAGAAGAAGAGGAAGAGGAGAAAGAAAATAAGAAGAAGAAGAAGAAAAGGAAATAAGAAGAAAAAGAAAATGGAAAATAATATAATAATAATAATAATAATAATAATTAGAAGAAGAAGAAGAAGAAGAAGAAGAAGAAGAAGAAGAAGAAGAAGAAGAAGAAAGGTCAATGAGAGAAATGCGGGAAGGAGAAAAGGAGGAAGAAAAAGAAGATATTGATTAAACAAAAATACTGTGCAAATGAAGAAGAAGAAGAAAGATCAATGAGAGAAATGCGTGAAGAAACATGAAATGGAAGAAGAAGAAAAATTTAAGAAGCAGAAGAATAAATATTAAATAGAAGGAAAATTCAGAAGGAATAAAAGAAAGAAGACAAAGAAGAAGGAAAATAATAATAATAATAGTAATAAACAGAAGAAGGAAAATAATAATAATAATAGGAAGAAAAAAAATAATGATAATAAGAAGGAAAATAATAATAATAATATTAATAATAATAATAATAATAATAAGGAAGAAGAAGAAGAAGAAGAAAACTAATGAAAGCGTGCAGCGCCTTGTCAGTAGCTGCACTCAGCTGGTACAAAAATCGCGGGTAGTATACGCCGACAATTGGTACGAGCATTTCCCACCGTCAGCAGAGGAGAATGTGAAACTGAAGATCATGTGTGATATGCCTATCTTGACTGGCAAGCGCTTGGAGAGAAATCGCCCTGTTACTACATTTATGAACAGCTATGAATGTTAAACATTGCGTTACCTTACCTTGAGATAAGAAAATCGTGAAGGAATAGCAGGTGAAAATCCAAAGGTAGCAAGAACTGGCGGGTCAAATGACAAGAATATAACAAGCAGCAGCTAAAAGATTACCCCTTTTGTCTTTGGCGCACACGGTACTATTCCCGGGAATCGTTCTGATGGACAGAATGCGTTGCAGATACCTGACATCATGTAATGTGTGCGGGTGGCTTGAAGTAGCTGATAACCCGAGGAAGAGTTTTGTCTCACCACTTCTCGGGGAGGAGCTGAGACATGATTATCATCACAGGGCGAAACATCCTATTGTTGAAAAGGGTTTCAATTCAAATAATAATAATAATAATAATAATAATAAAACGAAGAATACGTCTTCTTCGTATTAATATTATTAAGATAATAATAATAAGATATTGTATATAAGAGAAGAACAAAGAAAATGAATAATTCCAGTTGTAGCTGGAGCACTCGGATTGATTGGAGAAATTTCTGATACAGACATTGGATTGATCCGAGGAAAATTCATGCCTTAGGGAAATAGACAACATTGTACTCAAAAGTACAACTCACATATTATCTATGTAAAATTTCTATGATCTTAAGTTGTTTTTTACAAAAATACTCAGTGGAAAATTTTATGTAGCGATTTCTGACCTTTGGTCTCTGATTGTGACCCGTACGGAAACGAATATACAACAGAAAGCAAAAGAAATAATAATAATAATAATTTATGAACATCACCCAGACCCGGTTTTAACAATTCTATGGGACTGCACAATATACAGAGACAGAAAAATCAAAGCTAATCACCCAGAGATCGTTATTAGGGACCGCAAACAAAAAAGTGCCTCCATATTGATATGGCAGTCACTGCAGACTGCAACGTGTCTTTGGAGATCTTCAAAAAGCTATCAAAATTCAAGGACCTTGAAATCGAAATCTCAAAAATGTGGGACAAAATATTCCAATAGACTCATTGAAGGGATTCCTGGAAGCCCATGCCTTAAAGAAATACAAAAAAAAATTGTACTCTCAAGTACAGCCCACACCTTACGAAGGGCTTTATCTATGTAAAATATGTGTGTTTTTTGTTATTTTTTTTTCATTTGCTCAATGGAAAATGTCATTACACCTTTTCTAAGTATACACAGGAGATCAAAGGAAATTAATAATAATAATAATAATAATAATAATATTCTTAATAATAATAAGAAGAAGAAGAAGAAGAAGAAGAAGATGAAGAAGATGAAGAAGAAGATGAAGAAGGATAAAGCTGTATAAGAACGGACAGAGATAACCAAGAATAATGTTAGGCAAGCTCTAACAAAATCCCAAGTATGTAAATCCACAGAAAATGAAAAGGTATCCAGTTTTTGCTCCTATAATCGGGGATCTATCTTAACAGTTTGCTTGTGCAAATTTTGCCAATGCTAATTAATAATCACAATGAAGTTTCAGAATGAACCACTGAAAGTATTACATGTCTCATACCAAAAACAGGTGAAACAGATGATCGAAATTATAGGTCAATAAAATGTCTGTTCACCACATATAAACTAATCACGTCTGTCCTGACGAATCGTACTTACTCTGGAACAGAATGGATATCCAAGAGGTTCACAAGGTTGCAAAGATTGACTGCTAATAAATAAAATCATCCTAGAAATTTGCAGGAAAAAGTTAGAAATCTTAGCGCAGCTTGGATAGATTACCCTAAGCCTTTTGATAGTTTGCAACACTCTTAGTTTCGTAGGGATTTAGAAATGTAGAAATTCTCCGCAGTGATAGTAAATTTCCTTAAATATAGCATGAAACTGTAGAAATCTTAGCGTAGCTTGGATAGATTACCGTAAACCTTTTGATATTTTTGCACACACTTGGATCCGTAGGGCTTTGGAATGTACAAAGCCTCTTCTGTGATAGTAAATAGCATGAAACTATAGAAAACTACATTATACCCAAATAAAGCAAAAGGCATTGCCACCTCCAATATCCGACGAGGAATCTCTCAAGGAGACTCCCTGTTGCTTCTTCTCTTTTGCCTGCCCTTAATCCTCCTTCTACATGAACTTAACGGTAATAACTATGTATACAAAGTAAGCAGGAAAGTATTTCATCATCTTCTCTACAAGAATGATATCAAAAGAAGACAATGAGTTGAAGAGTCTCCTTAATACTGTAAAATCTTTCAGTAACGATATAGGCATGGATTTCGGATTAGATAAATGTGCAAAAGTAACATTCAAGAAAGGGAGAATTACAGAAATACCCTTAATTAATTTAAACTTTGTCACAAAGATTAGGGAACTGGAACAAGATGAAGCCTATAAGTACGTATGAATTAGCGAAGGAGATAGAATACAGCATACCCATATGAAAGAGAACATAAGAAAGGAGTACTACAAGCGTGTCTGTCTGGAACTGAATCAGTCAGTTAAGTGCCTTACGTGATAAAAATTTGGGCGATACATGACTGACAAGGCAGATTTGTCCCGCAGTAGGTTGCCATTTCTTTCTGCGGTAAATGGGTTTCCAACTAAGGTATCAGAACCCAATCTGTCCTGCTATTTAAGCCATATCTGAGGAGCGAAGAGATGGATTCATGCCTTTGCCAAGGGTATTCGTGCGTAAGAGAATCTCACTCCGAGCCGATATCCATTACTTAACATTCTTTGTTTTTGAATGAATACCGAACTTAACGCCATTTTAAACTCAGTGAAAGTTAGTTGTTTATCTTTTTGAGTTATAACTGTCGTGAATGGTTTGAATGACAGTGGCAAACCCTTTAAGACCATGGCTATTAGCAGCCCATCCGAGATAGTCTCTCCTGCTATATTAAGGCATTTGTGACATTCTCTGCTAGAATAATTGGTTACTGATTCATTTTCTTTTCTCTTTAACGCAGTTAGTTCAGTATATAAAGCAATAATTTTAGGCTTACCTTTTGACAAATAGTATTCACTCATATTTTTGTAGAGCTCGGCTTCCATTGTCCTTGGCCTCTCTCATTATTAAAGACAAATTACTGCCGTTCAGGAATTGTATTAATTCAGCGAACACGGTCGCATTTCTTTCCATAAAATCATCACCCCCCCCCTCTTTGTCGACTTTGCAAAGGATGATGTCATGGAGTTTTTGTATTCTGAGGTAGCCTAAAAACTTCGTCTCCCATAATTTATATCGCGATTCATTCCCGTCAAAATAAAATCGTGATCTGCGCTCATAACCAATGTTACAAATTCATGACGGTCGTCTTCGAGTATAGAATCCAGAGGTTAGCAGTGAATATTTCGGAGACAGTAGAAAAGCGTAGTTCAGGTTAGCAGTGGATATCGCAGCAAAATAGCAGAGCATAGTTCTTCCTTCTGTCATCTTCGGCTGTCAAGTTGGCACTGGTCATTCCGGTAGGGTAAACAGAGATGGACGCCTTTATACACGACGGATACAATGTTCTGCGGCTTCTGATTGGTTAACCTTCTATTGGTGGACTATAAAGGGAGTTAAGTCATTTTCACTAACTCACTAGTTATATACATATATACACAAAAAACTGTAACACCATAATCACTTTTGCTGGCCCTGTGGTGTAATACAGTTTCAATATTCTTAATTGGACCATAGGAGATAGTAAGCGAATGGATGTTAAAACGAGAAAGCTTCTCACTTCTGCCATTACATGCATCATCCTATGGCTGATGTTGATCGTCTGTACGTGACCAGATCCGAAGAAGGCAGAGGATTAGTTCAACTAGATGTGTCTTACAAAGCTACAACAATCGGTCTTTAAAGATACCAGAAAACTACTGAAGACTTGATGATGATCTGTGTCAAAGAACATGAAATAAGCAAGAACATTTTTTTCAGTAATAAAGGAAATCAAAAAATTCAAAAGGATATTTCATTTGGTTAAGAAATGTAAATAAACCATAATACACCTACTGCAGCGACAAAGAACTTTAAAAAAAAGCAAATGTGATATGACAAGTGTATAGTCAGTAATCTGTCCGTACCAAAGAAGCTGATTTAAGCAAAGCCCTTAACCATCAGTGGCTACACAGTGCAGGGTTAAAAGCTGATATCGAAGGTTTTATTCTCTGCGGCAGAAGACAGATGCATGCTATGAAGAAATTACCAAACCTACATCCTGAAAAATTGTGTTAGCTGAAAATGCTGATTCTGTGATAGTATCCAGAAATAAAGAACCATCTTGTATCAGGTTGCACAGGGTTTGCATCCACTGCGTATAAAACTCGGTATGAAAGAGTTGGATAGTCCTGTCCTGGATATATGAAGCTTTTACTGGAAGGAAACTGAAAGAAACTGGTATGAATATTACCTAGATTCGGTTACAGAGATAAGACCTGTAACAACTTTATGGGATTTTACAATACACACGGACAACAAACAATGCTAATATCCCAGATATCGTGACCAGAGACCGCAAAAGCAAAATTGGCTTTCTTATTGACATGGAAGTTCCTGCAGTCTGTAATGTATCTTGCAAAATCTAAAAAGTAAAAAAAAAACTATCAAAATACAAGTGTAAATCTCAGAAATGTGGGACAATATTTCCAGTTGTTTGGGAACCCACGGTTTGATTGGAGAAGTTTCTGATATGCACATTGAAAGGATTCCTGTAAGCCTATTCCTTAATGATGTACAAAAAATGTACTCACAAATACAACTCACACGTTACGAATGGCTTCATCTATGTAAAATGTATGAGATTATTGAGTTTTTTTTTCCGTTTTTTTTTTCTTTTACAAAAATGCTCAGTGAAAAATACCATGATGCCATTTTTGACCTTACATCTCTGGTTAGGACCCGGAAAGAAATGAGTACACACCAGAAATGAAAGGAAATATAATAATAATAATAATAATAATAATAATAATAATAATATATGTATAGCTGGTCGCTCGTATCTATTGTAGACGCTTGCTCAGGTGCATTTGTGTCTATTCAACACCCACAGAGCCCAACTGTGGTTTATAATGCAACTATGCTGAACAGACATTAGTTACAGTTTCTGGGAAAGAGCGTGTTATATAGTGTGATCAACAATTTGAACAAAGGCCAGAATGACTTGTGACTAAGTTATCGATAGCACCCAAGGGTGCCGTATATGTAATTACACACACTAGGCTTTGGTCAAACTGTGGCATGGCTTTTAGGCACTTTCCAAAGGTCCAGCACGCTGGGATCGACCCTTCCAGTCTTCCTTCCTGACAATCGACCATGGTGAAATTCAAACCCGGCTCTCATGGTCAGAATGAGAACGTCTAACCACTCTGCCACGTACTACTACTACTACTACTACTACTACTACTAATAATAATAATAATAATAATAATGATAATAATAATGACTTCAATTGTTCTCACAAGTACAGCTCACACCTAAGAATGGCTTTTTTTTCTCTGTAAAATATCTGTGATCTTAATTTATTTAATTCTTTTTTTTTTTACAGAAATATTTAGTAGAGAATGTCATGATACCATTTCTGGTCTCATGTCTCTGGTTGGGACCCGGAAGAGAATGAGTATATGGTTGGAATCAAAGGAAATAATAATAAGATAATAATAATAATAGTTGTAAAGTTAACAATAATAATTATAAGAAGATAAAGAAACAAAGAAGATTAGAAGTAAAAGATAAAATAAAAAAATAAATATAAAACATAGCAAGAATTACAGGAAAAGGCCGTTTTTATTATCTGTGTTTTACGTAAAATATCAGAGTATGATAATAAAGAAAAATCTAGGTGAGAAGAAAGAAAGCAAGAAAGAAACAAAGAAACAAAGAAAGAAACAAAGAAAAAAACGAAAGAAGAAAATAAAGAAAAGAAAGAAAGAATGAAACAATAAAAAAAGTAAGAAAACGAAACTAAAAAGTAGAAAAAAATAAAAGAAAGAATGAATGAAGGAAGCAAGGAAGGAAAACTAGTACTAAAAAATCGGGAGAAAAACAAAACGAAAAAAAAAAAAGAACGAACAGAAAGAAAGAAAGAAAGAAAGAAAGAAAGAAAGAAAGAAAGAAAGAAAGAAAGATATGTAAAAAAGAAAAAAGGGGTGAAGAAAGAAAGAATGAGAGAAAGAAAGAATACAGGACGAAATCGGTGTAGGATAATAAAGAAAGATCTACCTACAAAAGAAAGTAAGAAAGCTAAACAAAAAAACAAACAATAAACAAAAGGAAGAAAGAAAGAATGAAGGAAAACTAGTACAAAAAAAATCTGTAGAAAAAAGATAAACAAAACGAAACAAGAAAGAAAGCAAGAAAGAAAGAAAGAAAGAAAAGAAAGCAAGAAAAAAGAAAGAAAGAAATAAATAAAGAAAGAAAAGAAAGCAAGAAAGAAAGAAAGAAAGAAAGAAAGAAAGAAAGAAAGAAAACTAGTACAAAAAATCTATAGAAAAAAGAAAACGAAAAAAGAAAGAAAGAATAAAGGAAAACTAGTACAAAAAATTTGAAAAAAAAAGAAAAACAAAACGAAACAAGAAAAAAGAAAGAAAGAAAGAAAGAAGGAAAAGAAGTGAAGAAAGAAATCACGTGCGAAAGAAAGAAATTTAAAGAAGCAAAACTACTAAATGGAGAAAAAAAAATTTTAGGTGTGAAAACAGCAAACATTATCGATTTCAAATTTTATCATCCACTTTAAATTCTATTTTTTTTTGTGTCTAATTGAATTTTCTCCAATTCCTAACGTCGGCATCAGCTCGTCTTTAATGTGTTCTTTCCCTGGGACTTTATCAAAGCCAAACTCTCCCTACAGGAAACATCAAAATCTGATTTGCATTGAAATGAGATATTTTATTTGAGAAATTTATCCTCATAAATAACTTTCAAATAACATTGACCAAACATTCAGCTTGAAATTTCCGGATTTCAAGAGATTATAAACGGTGGCTTCATAAAATCTTAGTGTTTATTAAATATTAAATTATCATACTTTTGTAGGAAATAAATAAAAAAAATATCTGACAAGAATGCAAATGCATGCGTGTACATTGAAGATGGCAAATATTTATTCATCATCCCCGCCTCAAGAATAAAATCGCTTTGTCTCACACATGTGATTAGTTTTAAAGAAACAGTAACTTCAGGGTATATGGTTGTGTGAATTGTGGTTTAAAAGGGACATTCGCGTTTGTGTCAGGCCCTACAACATTGATTGAAATATCCACATGAAAGAGACCCCAGGCTTATGACAGTAGAGAGTTTCGGATGCACTGCTGTAAAAGTATTAATTCACAGTAGCATTTAAACAAAGGATTCACGAAAAACACTATGCAATGTCCAGATACCGTATGTTTTCTGTAGGATTTTCCTTCATCAAGAGCCATAATTCTCAAACTTTTCATACCCATGGACCATTTTACACTTAATTCTTTTTTTTTGTGAACCCCTTCAATAAAAAAGCCTAATTTATTACTCGATAATTTCAGATGTTGTATCATGGGTATTCTTGAATACGCATGAGACAATATATATATATATATATATATATATATATATATTAAGAAATGGACAAAGTCCGACAATTTATTAAAGACATTTTTTATGTTTAACATTCTTTTTATAGATACAAGTATTTAAGTAAATGCTCTGTTTATAATAAACAGTATTAAATAACATTTACCGGCCTGAATGTCCGAGAAATTTTCATAGAAAATATTCGTCCTTTGACAGGATTCGAACCTGCATCCTATACGGAACCGTCATTTAGCTTGACGTGCCTAATACGCCATGAGCAGTTATGAATGTACGAAATTCATGAAAGATTGAAGTTTATAAGCAGAAAATTCGACCTTGCCAACCGAACGATCCTTTGTGGCCGAATGGTTAGGCAGGTACAAACTATGGTTCTTAGCCCCTATAAGAGAATTGTCATTTAATTGATAGCACTTTTCTTAGTATATGGGATGTTCCTAGTAGGATGATCTTCTGGAAAACTTGTGTGTTGATTTTACTTGGGAAACTGTGATTAAAATTGTCAATTCCTTTCCTCCCGAGGCCAAGAACTTCGATTACTTTTCGTACAGTCTCAGTCATCATTCTTCACATCCTGTTAATCTTGATGTCCAAGTCCTTTTATTTGGACAATTATTATTATTATTATTATTATTATTATTATTATTATTTGTGTATGTTATGTTTCCTGCTTTGTATCATGCAGAGCCGCGTCCAAACAATGGTCCTTAGGCCCTATAGGAGAATTGTTATTTAATTGATAGCACTTTTCTTACTATATGTGATGTTCCTAGTAGGGCGATCATCTGGGCAACTTGCATGTTGATGCTACCTGGAACACTGTTATGAAAACTGCCTATACCTTTTATCACGAGGCCTAAAAATCCGATTCCTATTGCCACAGTCTCAGTCTTCATTCCCTACATCCTGTTGATCTCGATTTCCAGGTCCTTTTATTTGGAAAATCTCTCGATAATTTTCATGGAGGTGTTTCTCTCAGATGGTACTGCTATGTCAATAAGCATACACTTCCTGAATTTTTCGTCTTTCAGTATAATATCAGGTCTGTTGGCTTTTATTTCTATGTCACTTTGAATTGACATGTCCCAGAGAATAGTTACATCATTATTTTGGGTAACTATGTTTGGTTGAGGCTCATACCATCTCTCGGGGCGTTCAAGAGGGAAATTGTCGTCGTTGCTGATTCCCCAAACTTGCTTATTATTATTATTATTATTATTATTATTATTATTGATGCCTCCATCCAATAAAATTTGAATTGAATAAAGCACTAATCGAAGCGAAGGCGTTTAAAATTTTTAAATGATTCTTATTTTTTAAGTGATTAAATTTATTCTTGAGATAAATGGCGGGAAAATATCGAACCGACAGGAAAAGAAAAGAAAAGGTAGGAGACTAGAGAAATTGTTGAGCTTTTCTTTCTTTCTTTCTTTCTTTCTTTCTTTCTTTCTTTGTGATAACATAATGAAGGTAGTGGCCGTTAAGCCTTTTGTATTTTGCGTTTGAACGAATCGAACTGCATGAATGGAGGATTTACAACGAGTGATTTATTAATACAGATTTCCGTTGCGTGACCGAGTCGGGTTCAAATAAGTATTCTTACTGCGTCTCCCTTGAAAAAAATCACACGGACGCCTTTACACACAAACATACACACACACACACACACACACACACAGACACACCCATACACACAGACGTGTACGACCAGAAACACGTTTTAAATGCAAACCATTCGTATCCAAAGAGATCAAATCTCCTCATGTGCCCTCTAGTGTTACCTCTATTTTAGATCAAGCTATATGAAATAAATATTTACACATTTCATGCAAAATTTCCTGTGTTGTGCAGTGGTTCGCAGTTTAGTAGGTCATTAATGATATGGCGAGTTCGATCCTCACAATGGTCGTCATTGTTAATGTGACGCTATGATTATGGCGTCCACATCGAATACGAAAATATGATTATATCTCGATATCAAGTGTTTCCGTTTTATGCCTGGTAGATGTTGTCTTTGAAGTCAGGTTTTCTAAGCGGCAACCACTTCACCGACTAAGAACAAAAGAACATCTAAATCTAAGAAAATGAGATCGTTTGAGAACAAGTGACAACGAACCAGACAATTAGTATATCCCTATACTGCTCTATTAAGTAACATATTTGATTGTAAGAGTCTGATCACACACAGACATACACGCGAATATATATATATATATATATATATATATATATATATATATATATATCCTATATCTTTGTCCTGGTCATTGAGTTCTACCTGGATTCTATCCTCTTGAATTTTTATTCAAAAATATACATTTATGTGTATGCACCTATGTATATATATTTGTTGAAACTTGACTAATGTATGGAATAATAATACAACACAAAATGCACTTAGAACAAAATGTATTGAAACAAGAAAGTGTACACAATATTTACATATAGTCTTTTGTATATTCTTGGGAAGACCGTTCCTGGAGAATGTGCTGACTTAGTCGCAGTCGGGCAGAGTTTCTGGATTGAATCTCTTGATTCCTCTCCTCGTCTTCCCGGTACCAACCATATTTATATGGTCGGTACTCCACTATGCAAATTAGCTGGATCCTACCACAACAATATTTATATATTTTGCATATATATGTGTATATTTACCACTAATATTATCTATCTATCTATCTATCTATCTATATATATATATATATATATATATATAAGGGATGCAAAAGTAGGTAATGAAAAAAAACGTGCTCACCAAACGCATTGTTTTGATTAGACAAATATATCAATAATAGCATATCAAGATTAAACATATCAATAATCAACATATCAATCGCTAAAATATTCGGACAATTCACCTCCGTTATGCACACACTCCCCTTTACCTGCAAAACGTTCATTATTATTATTATTATTTTATTTCCTTTGATTTCTGGTGTGTACTCATTTCTTTCCGGGTCCCGCCCAGGGACCTAAGGTTAGAAATGGCATCATAACATTTTCCACTGGATTTTTTTTTATATATATATATAGACAAAGTCCTTCGTAAGGTGTAAGTTGTACTTGGGATAACATTTCTTTTATATTTCTTTAAGGCATGGGCTTCCAGGAGTCCCTTCAAAGAGTCTACTGGAATTTTTTCCAACAAATCCGAGGGCTTCAACGAGGATTGTTGATGTTCCCATGTGCCACATTTTTATTATTATTATTATTAATAATTATTAAAAAATAAAAAAATTATCAAAATAAAAATATTAAAAACGATTTTAACTACTTAAATGAATTCTAGTTTTAAATAAATTCTGCAACCGGTATTATAATACAGGTATAATACTTATAACTAGTTTTGTAGCCATCTAAACGCCTATATACATATATAACACTCAACCAAATGTACTACGCGTGTATCAACAACGTGCTGTAGCGATCAAACATTTAATGCCATTTTGCATGCTACCAATTTCCGGGCAGCTCCCTTATGTTGGGACGCTTGTTTTGCACAAAAATCCATAGTTACAACAGATAAATTTTAAAAATTAAATAATTATAACAGCGCGCGGTCACGCGCGTTTTGTTTTGTTTTTTTAAATCACCATCACAAGGAAATATAGATTTTATCACAGTTACACAACGTTTGTCTTCGTAATTTACTTCTGAGAATGATTTTGGAGGAGAGTGAAAGTACTTGGGTAGGAAAAAACTACACCACCTTTGCTGATTAAATTAATCTTAACATCAAGAAACTGATTAGAAAATTGGAAAAGATTATTATGAAAATAAATAGATACATGTCTATATTAGCCAATGAAATGCTTGAATATATATATATATATATATATATATATATATATATATATATATATATATATATGTACCAGAGAATTGATGCGACCAGATCACCACTAATATCTGTCCACCTCACCCTCCAGACTGCAACCCACTTAATAATTATGTGGAGGGCCTAGTTGAGAAACTCCTTGTAAAAACAAAGATAAATTGAAGGCAAGGATTATGGCAGCATTCACCAAATTAAACAAGGAGACCGTCCAGAAGAGGTGCAGGAGATTCCGAAGTTGTTTGGAGGCTGTGGTTAAAATCAATGGCGATTATATTGAATAAATTTTATCTTTGGTATTTCAAGATATGTTTGTGTCATTTTGGTAAATATATCTGTTAAAACGAGATGTCAGTGTCATCTGCATTTTGGCGTCATTTAGACTAATAATTTATCCATCGCACCCTGTACCTACATACACGCACAGATATAGATAAGTATTCGAATGTATACGCAATTACTCCTCCCACATCACCCCTTACATCTGGTCACTTAACTCTCCAGATGTAATCCGCTTGATTATTATGTGTGGGCTCCTTTAATACCGAAGATGTACTGAAGTCAAGGATTATGGCAACATTCACCAAATTGAACAAGGAGAGTTGTAGAAGATTCAGAAAATATTTGGGGGTAAATTTGTTAAATATATCTGCTAAAATGAAATTTCACTGTGATTTTCATTTTTTGAGTAATTTAGGCGACAATTTGATTGTATATATACATGGTATACCTACTTTCATATATATATATATATATATATATATTTATATATATATATATATATATATATATATATATATATATATATATATATATATATATATATATATATATATATATATATATATATATATATATATATATATATATATATATATATATATATATATATATATATATATATATATATATATGTATATATAATGTAAACGTTGCTTTTTTTTGAGATTTAAAGGAAATTAATTTATTCCCTGATATACTTCGCGCTTCTGTTCTGGCCTCTTAAGTTAAATGACCACTTGAAAAACCTTACCGAGGTTTTGTTGGCCGAAATTTTAACACCTGTGAAAAATGGCCAATTGTGACTGACAATAAAATTATTCTGAAGGTGAATACTTTATATAAAGACACACAATCTACTGAGCATTTACAATAAAAGAAACGAAAAAGCAAATGCTTTATTTATTCCCAAACTTAAACTGGGCCTTTTTTTACCTTATTGTAAGAGTGTGAAGTACTGTCAAAGTAAAAAATTTGATCTAATATTCATCTAGGACAGAAGTCAACACACCCTTCCCCCTATCCAAATCTGGTACTCGAAGGATATTTACTCTGGACGCCAACTTAAAACCTGGAAACTAATTAACTAATTTGTGGAGCAAGTGATAGAAAACACATCAGAGTTAACTGATTAACAATGCCATGAAAATATTTATCGAAAAAACAGAAGGAAGCCACATTACGTCAGTGAGAAATTTACTGAAGTTTTGAACCTAATTCAGGACAGATCAAATTGCATACCCATCTTTGGATTTTGTCGAGAACCTTTAGATGAACAGAACCAGACCATATATGGCAACAGTATTGCATGCATGGGCGAATCATAGATTTGTAGATGTGAAGGAGACACTCAGACGAGAAAAAAAAACCTTCTTGGGCAACACAGAGAACCAACTTTTTGCGGTAGCTGCAGCTATTGATTCAAAGCAGTTGTTCTATCCTCAGGTCAGTGGAAAACGTGAGGCCAAGAAGGCGCAATGAGGCGCTCTGGTGGAGTTGAGCATCAACCATGCGGATAAGAGACAGAGAAGTTTCTCTATAGTGAGTAAATGACAGCCATTTCGTTTTGGATGCAGTAAAATTCACAAGCCATTTCCTGTCCCAGTGAACCACAGATTGGAGATCGTTTTTGAGACCAACGGCCAGGTTAACTTTGTCAGAAATGCCCGGATTTACCATTGAGACATGAGTAAATGGTAGTGTCGTCTGCGTAGATGCTTCCTTGAGAACTGATCATGCCAGTAAGATCAATGATGACGATCAGAAACAGTGTAGGACCCAGGATAGAGCTTTGAGGAAAACCAGCGTTCGTATGTAAGTAACTTGAAGAGAAGCCGTTCAGGACAACCTTCATTTCACGGTTAGACAGGAATGATTGGATTAAATCAAATAATCGTCTTGTAATACCGTACCCCTGAAGTTTACGTAGAAGGCCAGCAGGTCAAACGCTGTGATGCTTGAGATGTGCATTTTCTACAATTAGAAAATTACATGCGTGAGGATTATACGTTGGTTATTATTTTAATAATAAAATATCTTACTCGTATTTATTAGAGATCATTGTATTATCCCAGTCTATCTGGGAAGTGGATTTACAGTTACTTACATCCGGACAGCAATTATCGAGTAGTACTAAATAAGAAGCTATGCCTATTCACGGACAGTGGGAAGATGACAATCTAACTCCATTGATTAAATAAATTTTAAAATTCAAAATTCCCTGAAGGTTTTCTGAAAATAAGAAGCCATAAAAGATGAGGTGAATCACCCGAGGTAAAATAATAACTCCTCCTTTCAGAATAAAAGAACGCAATTCGTCATGAAATGTTCTAATAGGTGAACATTCGACCGGGTAGTGTTGATTTATAATCAGCGGAAACGGCGTTGGCTATATCTAAGAATTATCAAATAAGAACAGGACGAGGTTTCTGTTATAGAGGACAGAAATGAATGGAATCATCCGTTTATGTAAATAAGCGGACTTGAGGAGAGCTAGCATTAGGTCGGGTGATAAGGTCTCATCATTTTACAGTCGAATTGACGAGAGGTAACTTCTATCGTAACAGTTTCTTCTATGGCAGCTTATCTCAAACATCACCCAAAATCTGTTGTTATATGAGAGAAGGGGTGACTTTTTAATTGTAACGCCTCCCAAATGAAACTGTTCTCTTTTAATCAGCTGAGCGAACCTTTTTTTACCTCCCACCTGTATGGCTGTTGCTGACCTCCTGGAGACTGAATCACTGCACTTTATAAGACTAACGCTAAGAAAGTGTTCCTTGTGTCGTGCTAGACAATGTTTCTTCCCAGAATCTATCTTACATATTTATAAATCTACCATTCGCCCATGTTTTGAATATTGGGGCTACATACCATCCGATGCTCTTGCTGTATATTTAAAATTTCTTGATTAAATCAAAAGAACCTGCAATGTTATTGATTCTGACTTGGCATCTCGGCATCAGTCAATTTCTCACCGCCGTAATATAGCGTCTCTCTGCCTTTTCTATAAATAGTTTCATGGTTAACATTCTGAGGTTTTGGTTTGGTTTGGTTTGGTTTGTTTTACAGCATTAAATTAGTAAACTCATTTGTACCCGTAATTCCTCGTAGTAAGACAGTATATGTATGGAGGGGGGAATATACGCACGCATATATACACGCATGCTGACAGAAACACACAAAAATGGAAACAGATCCAAGAACACATAGGGGTCAGTAAAACATTAAAAGATAAAATGCCGATAAGCAATTCATCATTTCGCTTGGACCAACTTTAATTGTTTTATGACCCTTCGCGCAGAACTCTTCACTGCCAATTCAAGAAAGACATTCGGATTACTAACACAAAAACAGAGAATGTCTCATATCGAGAATATTTCACATTGAAAAACATAAGGAAAAAAAGTAATTATTTTTAATAATATGTGGAAGTCTCCGCCCTTTAACTGAAGACGGTCGCGAGACCAGAAACACGTTTAGTAAAATTATGGAAAATAAAGCATAATATTTAAAAAAAAAAAATCCACATTACAATCAAAAACGTTTGCGGCACCTCTCTTCTCTTCTTTTTAATATACACACTTTTCTCTCGTTGGAACACCTATAACCTCTTTTTTTTTATATATATATATATATATATATATATATATATATATATATATATATATATATATATATATATATAATATTCTATATTTCTATATATATATATATATATATAATATTCTATATTTATATATATATATATATATATCTATATTTATATATATATATATATATATATAATATATATATATATATATATATATATATATATATATATATAATATTTTCTGGCTTTAAATAACCTGCAAAGTGTTGACAACCCGTAGAAAACGAACCGATCTATCAATCAATAACGTCTGAGGTCAACCATTACCTGTTCTACGTATCATAATAAACTGCACTTACTTTTCCACCTGCTACGTCCATACACCAATATCATTTTCTGACGCTCAAACTTGAGTTACTCTTTGATCTGATATTTGGTGAAGATATTGTTAAAAAATGAAACTGTGTGCTAACATTTCCCAGAATAAAATTTATCAGTTGCATCTTCCAAACGTCAGTAGACAATGAAGCTAATGACATCAAAATATCGATTGTCTGCCCTGATCAATACAAAATTTTACACGTGCGGAGAAAGTAAGTAGAGGTTTGTAACAAAAGCGATGCTCGAGCGAGCCAATAATAGATAGATAGATAGATAGATAGATAGATAGATAGATAGATAGATAGATAGATAGATAGCCAAGCGAGAGTAGGCAATAGAATAATGAACGGAAATAAATAAAAAAGAAAGAAAGAAAGAAAAAAGAAAGAAAGAATGAAAAAAGAAAGAAAGCAGGAAAGAAAAAAAGAATGAAAAAAAAGATCTCCAGGTGAAAGAAAGAAAGAATGAAAGAAAGAAAAAGAATGAAAAAGAAAGAAATAAGAAAGAAAGAAAGAAAGAAGGAAATAATGAAAAGGAAAGAAAGAAAAAGAATGAAAAAGAAAGAAAGAAAGAAAGAAAGAAAAAGAATGAAAAAGAAAGAAAGAACGTCAGGTGAAAGTAAATAGTAGAATATTGAGAAGAGAAAAGGGGCTCCTCGGCGTGGTGTAATGGTTAGCAAGCTGGTCTTGCTAAAACTGTTACAACTGAATAGTGACTTCGATCCTCACTGGGTGCCCCATACTTTCGGCCATGTGCCACATCTAAGCCTCGCTTAGAAAATCAATACTGAGAAGAAAAAGAGAGAATGAATAAAGGTTAAAAAGAAAAAGAAAAGGAAAACTTAAAAGCATAGTATGATTGGAGAATTGGCAAGAAATACTGGCGTTCGTTTGGCTTTTGGAAGTTGGAAAAAAGCGTCTCGAACATTCATTTAGCAGGTGCCCTGTGCTGTCAAAATGGCGTACTGTCTAAAGGCTCATTGAATCACTCAGGCACGCTATTCAGCACCGGAATTGGAAGAAGTGCAATGAGCTTAATCATCCATGGCAGCGATTGTGTCTTTTTACCTTGGTACAAGCGGGAGATACGGATGAGCTGTGATTGGGACAAACAGTGAAAGAGGCGGGAAAATAGCAACAAAGAGCGGGAAAATCGGAGAGAAAGAGGGGAGAAAATAAGGATCAGTAGAAGCTGAAAGAGGAGGTAGAAATAGAGAAAGATAGCAAAAGAGAGTAAGATGAAAAATAAGAAAAGGTTGGAGAGCAAGGGAAATATATATATTTTAAAAAATGCCGAGAGAACGGACAAATAAGATGGAAGTGATAGTGAATGGAGAGAGAAACCAAAATAATTAAATAACAACTGGGAGGGAAATGTGAATGGTCGATTACAAAAGAAATGAGACGGAGATTGAAAGAATAAATATATATATATATATATATATATATATATATATATATATATATATATATATATATATATACTAGCAGCATGGCGTAGAGTTGCCCGTGTTTGATTCAAAAAATCGTAAGACTAACACAGTTATCGCTATCACTTGACTTAAAATATTTTTCCCCTTCCTTGCCTTTAAAGGAGTGCCCTTTGCCGTGCTGATGTTGCTACATGCCTTACTTCTTGCCTATCTCACACTAAACAAAATGAACACAAAACGATCAGTTTTAAAAAAAAGGACTTGTAACTGTAAAAACCGAATGAAAAAAGAATGTTAACAACAAATATTTTTTCACACCCAACCCAGTTCTGCGGAATCAGAATCAACGTTGAGTTTAAGCAAGCGAATGAACCAATTGCAGTAAAGTGCCATGCAGATTAAAATTTTTCCCACTTGTAACGAATGCGGCTATCGATTTTTTTTTTTGCATGCTAGCATGCTAGTTAACATTCATGTCAGTCAGCTGTTGACTCTCACGCTGGCCAATAGAATCTTCCTGCCTACTCGTGGCAGCCAGCTGTAGGCTCTCACTCTGGCCAGTACAAAATGGCCGCAAACTACATGAAAACTGCTGTAGAAGCATCGATGGTAGTTGGGAAATGCAAAGTCGGTCTTGGCCTTCCCGATAACTTGGAGCATGTGCATATAAATTTTGGTGCAAATCCGGCAATTATTTTAATATATTTTATTTTTATACGTTATTTATATAGACACTGAATGTCCGACAAATTTTCATAGAAAATATTCGTCCTTTGACAGGATTCGAACCTGCATCCTCTACGGAACCGTCATTCAGGCCGGTAAATGTTATTTAATACTGTTTATTATAAACAGAGCATTTACTTAAATACTTGTATCTATAAAAAAGAACGTTAAACATAAAAATGTCTTTAATAAATAAATTGTCGGACTTTGCCCATTTCTTAATATATATATATATATATATAAGAAGAAATATAGTCTTAAGACGTGCTATATTTATGAGATAAAGTGCTCAATATCAGAGATAGTGCGTGTATATATATATATATATATATATATGTATGTATGTAATTAGGAAATATATATAATGTCCGAGAAATCTCATAGTAACTATGCCTCCTCGGACAGGAAAGGAACCCTTATCCTACATATGATTATATGAAGTTTGTAGTTTAAAAGCAATAATTCGACCTTGCTCTGCAGACGCGACCTTCGTACCAAAAGCTGGTAAAGCACCTCATGCTATATAACGGTTCCGTGTAGGGTCCAGGTTCGATTCCAGTTGAATGAATATATGAAATTTCTCGTACTATTGAAGCCAGGAAATGTTGTTTAATACTTTGTATAACAGAGCCTTTACTTAAATATATATTTATATAAGTGTGTATGGATACACACCTGTTTACAGAATTTTTTTTGGCCCTACTGAATATTTTTAAAATCCTTGTTACCCCAAGCAAGACACTAAAGCCACTAAGACACAAGGGGTTACAAGTTGTGGAAGAATTAATAACAGAAACATTAGTAATGAGAGGGAAGAAGAAAGAGTAATCAGGAGAACAGTATCTATTGATATTGCATCTAAAATGTAGATTAAAGTTGGCTGTAAAATCATGGCGCCGGACGGGAGTTCCACTAGCGAGAAAAGAAACTGTCAGCACAGAAGTTATGGCTGGAACTAACATTGACGTATTTTAATTTTGTGTTGGGTTTCATGTCTGTAAAGACACTGCCAGTTTGTAGATTTAATTCTACATCCAAATATTTGACAATTTTCTTATCCATATCAATTTCTATTTCAAAGTCGAGGCTTTTGAAGAGTTTGAAAGGCGCTTTTCTTATATTGTCATTTGTTCTT